GAAGTGAGTGTATTGAGAGAGAAGCTAGCTCCAGTACATGACTGGCCTAGAGAGGGTGAGCCTTATAGTATGGCTCACTCTATAGCATACTCTACGCTATTGTAACAGCTTACAAAGGGTATATACTGACTGGATATCAGCTCTGGGTACACCGTACCATTGTCAAAGAGGCTACTTCAACAGCCTCCCTGCCTCTTGTAATATTCTTTGACAATACCTAAAGATTTAGATATAACAAGTCAATAAAAGGAATATATATATTAAGGTCAGTCCGAAAACTGACACCAGGAGGAAGCCGGCGCTGCTGATACCTCTTGGCGCTCTCAGCTTTCGCTGCTTACGAAGAGGATCACGCTGGCACGCCCGATGGCGAAGGTTTGGAGGACAGGCGTCACCAAGGGCGCTGCGCTGGGCTTGAAGGCGATAACAAAACCGACACGTAAACCTCGCAAGGCGGCAGCCATACGTGCAGCCAAGAAAGGGCGAGCTGCTAGGCGCGCTGCGACTGGGACTATAAGCGCAATCGCTACCCTGAGCCGTGTACCGATAGCCATGAGCAGGGAGGAGAGCAGCGGGGCAGAACCAAGGACGCTGCGGTCGAACCCCACCGCCGAAGCGTCACAGCCGCCCAGTGATGTCACTAAAGTGTGGGGAAATAGTGACCGTGTGAGGGGCAGATGGTCTTGCGCTATTTGCTCCAACATCAACCCTGCGTGCTTCCCTCGGTGTTCACGCTGTAAGCTTTATCGTGTACGACAAGAGGAGGTAATTGATCGACCAACTGGCAAAGCGCTTGCGAGCGCCATTACTGAGGCACTCTGTGCCATTGAGACTACAACCGAATGTGCGGCTAATACCACAATTTGTACGGCTCCTGCCACCAACTGTAAAGCTCCTGCCACAAACCGTAAGGCTCCTGTCACCAACCGTAAGGCTCCTGCCACCAACCGTAAGGCTCCTGCCACCGACCAGTTGCACTACCGGATATGGGGGGAGTATTATACTGGTCGGGATGTTACAGTTGACCGCAGATTTGCGTCGACTGTCGAGGTGTGGCAGGTGGCCTGTATAAATGACAGGCGTGAGACAGACCTGGGCCCTGTGTACCAAGTACTGTGGGTACACCCCGACAGGACTTGCAGGAAGTTATATCAGCGATCATGGGAACCAAGGGCCAATCTCCGGGAGGATGGCTTCACTGAGGAGGTGGATCTCGTCGACCGTTGGAAAGATTCTTCCGTGCCACTCTTTGAGGACTTCTGGAGAGATGACCAGGTTGGTGTGGGATTGCTTGGTGCGGATGACGATGACCTGTGCGTATTCAACGCCTTCTAGCGTGCAGCAGAGCTCGCTGGTCGTCCAGATCTCGTTACTCAGCAGGACATCGACCAGTACGTCGAGGACATTCTCGTGCAGTACGGCCGTGATCTCCGCGAGGGTGCAGCATGGCTGGATGTGCGCGGCTTCCTAGTGCGCCTTCGGGATGGAGGACGTGACATCGCGTACAACGCCTTTGTCAAGAACAACTACGCCATTCCAGGTCGTCGAGGTGCCCGCGTACTGGAGGAGATCAAGATCAAGGATGGAATCTACATCGTTGGAGCCTACAACCATCGTTTTATTGGTCATGGGGCGGTGCTCACAGTTCAAGGGACCAAGCGCCTTCTCTACGACTTGAAAGAAGGTAAGCCGATCTCATCCGCGGAGGGGTGGATCAACTTTTATGCATTTGTTCGTCCTTTCAAGATCCATAAGTAGACGATAGGAGTTGGTAGGATTTCCGCGGGTTTGGGCAACAAGCTGATCGGCTAGGTTGTTCGAGGTAATATCGGTCGAGCCTCCCAGAAGGAGACCGTACTCTTTCGTCCCGGATAGATACTTTAGACCACGGATGACTGCTTTCCAGTGATCCATTCCTGGATTAGCTAGGAATTGGCTGACTTCTCGCATGTAGAATGCCATGTCGGGCCGAGTGCCTACCATTAAGTACATGACACTGCCTACTGCTTGGTGATACGGAATTGATTTCATCGCATCTTTCTCTTGCTCACTGCTAGGCTGGTTGTTAACGGAAAGTTTAGCGTTCCGTTCTGCTGGTGTTGCAATAGGGTACGGAATGTAGTCACTGAAGCGGTCAATGACCTTCGTAGCGTACTTGTGCTGGTGGATAAACATCGTTCGGTTCTAACGGTCTCTTTGAATGGACCAGCCGAGTAAGTACTTCACCTCCCCTAAATCTGACATGGAGAATCGCTTTTTCAAGGTTGATTTCAGCTCACTGACGAGTGCTGGTGTTGGCGCAATGATCAGTAAGTCATCGACGTACACTGCAATGTAACAGGTGATGTCGCCAACTGTGCGTCGAAAGACACAACGATCTTTAATAAGTTTTATAAATCCAAGACTTTCTAGGAATGCAGTCAAAGTTTGGTACCAGACACGGGGCGCTTGTTTCAGCCCGTACAAGCTCTTCAGAAGTTTACACACTAAGCGCTCCTTGCCCGGGGTTTTGAAACCTTCCGGTTGAGCCATGTAGATCTCTTCTTCCAAGTAACCATTAAGGAATGCTGTCTTAACATCCATTTGGTGAACTTCAAAGTCCAGAAGAGCTGCAATCGTTAGCAGTAGACTGAGTACCTCCATCCTGATGACAGGAGAGAAAATCTCGTTGAAGTCGATGCCATATTCCTGAAGGAATCCTTTGATGACAAGACGAGCCTTAAAGCGGTCGATTTCGCCAGTGCCGGTATACTTCACTACAAAGACCCATCGGCTACTTAAAATCTTCCTTCCTTTAGGAGGGGATACCAACACCCAAGTGTTGTTGTCCATGAGGGATTTGTATTCCGATTTAGCTGCTTTATGCCACTGGTTAGCGTGAGAAGACTTCATGGCTTCCCGATACGTAGTGGGCTCTGACACATACCGAATAGCTAGTAAGGTGTACAGTAAATGCTGACGTTGCTCCTGTTCGTGAATGTCTTCCTCAGAGTTGAGGGTTACGTCATTGGCTTCCTCAGAGCTATCAATGGCTTCCGCAGAGAGGCGGGGTCGCTTAGGAGTTGAATGACACGGAGGAGCAGAGTCCGTCTCCGTTCTGCCACAGCACCGGAGCCTGAACATGTGTCAAATTCAGTGACCACACCGTCACCCACCTCAGGCCCTGCAATGATAACGGCATTAGGCACAGTGAACGAACGTGCACTGCCCTCACTGAGGGAGGCTATTGATCGAACAGCCATACAGTATTCTTTTAGTTGCAGTTGGCAAAGGTGCAGGTACAGGTGCAGGTGGGGCGACAGGTTGCTGCCGAATCGTGTGCTGTGCGGGCTCTGGGGTAGACATCAGGCCTGTGAGAGATGGGAATTCGTCCCCTTTAAAGACTACGTCACGACTATAGATAATTGCGTGAGTATCAATATCCATTAGACGGTATCCTTTCTTATGGTCAGGCACACCAAGATACATACACAAACGGGATCTAGCGTCGAGCTTGTCTTGCTCCGTGATGTGAATATATCCACTACACCCGAATACTTTGATGTACTGCATGGATGGAATACGGTTGTACCAAAGCTCATACGGGGTTCGACCATCCGTCTTGGAGCTAGGAGTCATATTGATGAGAGTGGTCACGTGACAAACGCACTCAGCCCATAACTGCTTGGGTAGCTTGCCGTCAAGTAGAAGGGCTCGGACACGCTCCAGATGGTACGCATGCGACGTTCTGCAACTCCATTTTGTTGAGGAGTGTATGCATTGGTAAACTGGGCGTGAGTTCCATACTTTTTAAATATAATGCGGCCAAGCTTCTCGTACTCTTTGGCGTTGTCTGTTTGAAGCCGCTGAATCTCAAATCTGCCCTCGTGTGTATTGTCTTCAACACTGAACGTGTACTCGATGACAGATATATCTTGTCTGAAAATATTCAGGGCTTTCTTCCTGAAGTCTTCGTAGCAATCGTACAACTCGCTACGGTTCTTAATTGCATAAGTGAACATGAATCGAGAAAAGTCATCGATGAAGATCAAGAAGTAACGACAACCAGTAAGGCTAGGCACAGGTAATGGACCACAGATATCTGAATGAACTTTAGACAAGGGTGATCTAGCACGCTTAACAACTCTATTAGAGTAAAATGGGGAGCGGTGTGACTTCGCTAACGTGCAGGCAACACAGAAGAAATCTGTCTTTGGACTTAGAGGTATAGATCCATCGAGTCCACGTATGGCTTGGCTCCTAGATAGGTCATTCAAGACACGAACGTTAGGGTGTCCAAGGCGTTTATGTAAGAGCAGAAAGGAACGTTGCTTACCTGAGGCAATAAGAGCCGCTGGATGTGCCACTGGTTTGGCTTGGAACTGATACAGATCCGTGTTGGTAGCCATGGGCGCTTTGATCTTGAAGCGCTGGACAGTTTGCATATAGCACTGTTTGCGGTCAAAGTTGAAGCGAAAATCGTGCTTCACAGCTGCTGGAATTGATATCAGACTAAATTAGAGCTGGGGAGCATACAAGACGCCATGGAGGATAAGCTTCTGCATAGTGCCCTTGGAGTCAGTGACTTCCAGCTCGACCCGTCCAATTCCTTCGATGGGGATTTGGTTATTACCACCAACCGTAATCGAGCCACCACTGGAGGTGATATCGGTGAACCACTGGGACTCATGGGTGACGTGGCGAGTGCAGCCAGAGTCGATCGTCCAGGTGGGGTCAGGTTCTACCTTGGCTTGAGCGGTGAGGCTAAACGGGGGATTGACTGTGGTAGCAACAGCGATGAGACCGGTATCACGACGTCCTTGGCGCGTTACCTTGCGGTTGTTTCCAGAATCACTGGCGTCGTCATCTTCCTCGTCGTTATCTGACTCAAGAGGTCGGTCCTTGTAGCGATCTTGACCGCGATATTTGCCGCCATTTACTTGCTTGTTCTTGCTACTGCCATTGTTACTCTTGAAGCCGCGGTTATTGTTATTCTTGCCGAGTCGCCATTGTCACCTTTGTTCGAGTTCTGGTACGGGTGATCGCGTTTCGAGTTGCCTCTGAAGGCGAAGTTGGCAGGAAGCACTGTACCGGCCTTCACTCGTCCATCACGCAGATCCTTTTGCAGGCCTCGGCATTGACGAATGTTGTGGCGTGGTCGATCACAGTACGAGCAGATATTGGCGTTGTCACGGCCTTGATCCTGTGACACAGGAGGTCCGGTAGCCACTAGAGCTTTCTCACGCTTGGTTGCATTGGTCTCTGGTGTGCCTTTGGCCAAGGTGTAGCGCTCTTGAGCTTGAAGATCGCGAACCTTGCCTTCAATACTCTGCTTGAGGTCTTCATACGGGATATACTTCCGCTGGCCTTTCCAAATGCGGAGATCATCTTTCCACGACTTGGGCATCGAGTGGAACAGATAGATAGACTTCTGTCCTTCGGTCATCGCCGATTCGGTGGCTTCTGATGCGGCTTTCATCGCATTCTCAAGCTTTAGAAAGAACTCGGTCAAGTCGGAGCCTTCCTCATACTTGATCTCCATCAAGTAGTGTTGAATAAAGTACGGGTCACCATGAAAGGCTGCTCCCTCGTACTTCTGGCAGATGTAGTTGAATATCTCGTAGGATGTCGTGAGATTCTTGACCAGCCGCACGTGCATGTTGTCCATCGTTTTCATTAAGAAGGCCTTGGTCTTGGCTTCTTGACGACGGCGCTCACGCTGGCTAAGAGGTTGAGGCTTCTTTTTCTTAGCACGCTTGCGTGCCCGGCGAGCTTCACGCGAGTTGAACGGTCGAACGACTGGGAGGTCCTTCCGCTTGGTTGACGTATCGGAGCTGGCTCCTGAGTCGTCGTCTGAGTCCGAGGGTGGCTTTAGGTCGCCGTCGCTGTCCTCGTAGTCCGCCGCGTCAGTATCGATTTCAGCGTCTTTCGAGGCGTTGGCTGCCAGTTCGTCGTCAATGTCAGACATATCGCTGCCGCTGTCTTCACTCTCGTTTTCAGACACACCATCGTAGTCTGGCTGCTTCACATAGCCGAGTAGGTGCTCGCCATCGAGTGCTGCGCACACACGGGTCTTCCACACGTCGAAGTTCTCGGCTCCGATGAGGCGTGGAAAATCTTCGCTTGAGGCTTGGCTTGGGCTCATAACCTATGAATCGGTAGGCTGGATAGCAAGAAGAGAGAAGAGAGAAGTTGTCTAAAGCCGTCAAAAGACGAAGTGAGTGTATTGAGAGAGAAGCTAGCT